CAGTTTGTGTGGACTGTCAGGTCAGGCATAGCACCTTCTGGGTACCCAGTTTGGAAACAGTTCAGGTTCTATTACAGAGAGACCATTTGGCACACTTGGGTAGAGAGAGCAAGTGTATAAGCCACATTAAAGGCACTTTTCAGCCCCTGTACGTTGCCTCCTATCCCTGTAATAACTGCAGGATCATTTCAGGGCTCATTCCTTGATAACGTGTTCTTGGTCCCTTCATTGTGCTCCCACTGGCTGTGTAGGCTGCCATCTTGCTTTACTACTAGAGAGGAAACCACTCAGGTGAGGCCTAGCTCTGGCACATTTGCTGCCCTAGGTCTGGTTTAGTGTCTAGTGGCTAACAGAGCTTAACAACTACTCATGGAATGGCTTGTCCTTCCTTTTTTTTGTGTGGGAACAGGCATTAGCTCATTGGCCAACAGGAAGTTTGGGAGTACATAGAAGGGTGATGGTGGAGACATCTCTTGAACCTAGTGTTTGAAGTTCCTTTAATTTCTGTTCCCAGCAAGAGATGAAGACTCTTGTCTGCATTCTCCTCAGGCCAATAGTGTGTATCTGTCCTTAGTGCTATGGAGAGTCACTTACTAACTTCACAGCACCCAAATAGGACCACCTGGGAAGCTAGAGTCTCTACTGCAAAGATTGTAACAATAAGTGAGGCTCAGCAAGTTTACAGGACCTCTTAAAAGTCTGCCTGAGCCAGGTATGAATTAAGCATGGAACTGATGTATGTGCCTGGCACTGGGTCCCCAGGATTTTAAGAGGTTTATCCCAGATGATCCCCAAAACAACACAGGGGCCCACTGACCAAAGAAGGAACCAGGGCTCAGAGGGTTGTTGAGAGAATGTGCCTGTGGAAAGGAAGCTACTACAGGGCTAAACGTGGACCTGAACTCAGGGCTTTAACTCTAAATCTAGACCCCAAGTCTCTGACTGCCAGGGTGAGTTTATCGGGTTCCCAAGAGCAGTTACCTTCATAAGAAGCCTTGAATCCCAGAGAGCTGCCGCTGCCATCAGTCTGGAAAAGGAGCCACATTTGATGGTTGGTGCTGACGATGAGGTCTGGGACCGAATTACCTGTCAGGCTGTCGGGAGAGAGATGTTTAGAGGTGTGTCCCCTACCACGGCACTCAAGGAGAGTGACAGTTTGACTGCAAGAGCTTGGGGGATATGGAGAAGCCAAACTCTGCCTGTCTCTGCATTTGGGCCACATGTTCTGGAAGAGATATCCTTGTCTCAAGTCAGACTACAGCGGTGGGCAGAGGAGAACTCAAATGCTCCCCAAAGCAAAGTTCCAACATAGCAGAACCTCTGGATACCTGATACTGTTCTCTCCTTTGACTACCCCACATCATACTGGCCATCCTTGGCTCAGGAACCATGGTCACTATGTCTATATGATCCCAGGTCACTGAAGCCACCCAGGTTCCAGATAGTTCTGACCCTGAAGGAAGGTCAGGCAGCCATGGGTGTGTATGATTGGGACTAACTACTACTGTGGAGAAACAGGACCTGTAGAGGCGCTGGTAACCACATGGAAAGCTCCAGGTTGCACTCCAAACCTCCACTTGCCCCTAAGGGACAGCTCATTCTGGACACTTTTCATGTGAATCCCCATGAGGATTTAGCCAGTGCTCAGCTCCCCTTGGCTGGCGTAGTGAGAGGTAGAGGGATTGTCACTGAAATCAGGAGTGTTGAGGGACACTGTCTTCACAGGAGCAGGTAGAAGCAGGCAGGACTTGGAAAGCCCATACCACCACCCCCAGCAAGGTCCCTGGTTGTCCTTGCCTCTCGACAAAATGCAGGGCTTCACTTACATGTAGAGAACTGTCTTCTGGTCCCCATCCTGCCCACCGTCCCCGACCGTCAGGGTGTCATAGCCCCTCTCCAGATCAAACTCCTCAAAAGCCAGCTTGATCACCTGAGGAGGAAGCACAGGGTTAATCACTGGCAGGGGCTTCGAGGAAGACTCCTGAGCCTGAAGTCCAGGTGGAAATTTCATCTGTATGTCCTGATGCCTGGAGTCGCTGGTGACACCATTCTGCACAAACTGCCACCCTCATGAGCATGAACTATTTCTCTCCAGGCCACCCAGTCTCTGGGGGCCCTTATGTCTCTGAAGATGTTCATGGCACATCTGGCCAATTCTGGGGTTGTCACAGCAACACCGGGCACATCTGGCTAACTGTGAGATGATTGGACTCTTTCTTCATGCTTTAATACCCAGAAATCCCCATGGGGTTGGTGGTGATATTTCAGGCCACATGTGGAATCTCAGCTTTCTTGCCCTAGGGACCTGTAGACGCTTCTCCCAGCCTCTCCCTGGCCTGTTTTTCTCCATTTTTTGTTTGTTTATTTGTTTAATAAGTGAATGTTCTCAGAAAGAGATTTCAACAAGATTTTTCTTTCCTCATTTGTTTTAGTCCTGCCTTCCACAAATACGTACTAAGCACCCGCCGTATGCCAGACTTGGGGAGGAGGTTTCCACGGTGAGCATGACGCTGTCTCTGCCTCGGGTGAGAAGAGAGGTTGGAGAGGTAAACTGATAAGCACAACATCAAGAGGTGGGTGCTAAGGCGGGGAATGAGGAAAGGAGAGAAGCCTGCAGTGGTGGAATATGGGAGGCCACTCTGGTGGTGCCATCTGAGGGAATTCTAAAGGCTAAGGAAGCCTCTGTCAGACCAAAGCGGGAGTCTAGGAGAGGGAAGGGATGTTCTGAGGAGTCAGGGCCTGAACTGGGGCTGAGATGGAACACATCAGAGCAAGATGTTCAGTGTCTGCTGACAGCAGGTCTACAAAGGGGCACAGCTGCCAGCTACCTCACTCTTGGGGACTATGTGGCTGGGCATTCCATGCGAGGGCGCACTTGGGAAGCCCAGAAATTGAGAAGTCTACGTAGGTCTTCACTCAAAAGGTCTCTTGTTCCTCCCTTACAAGGAGCTGGGGGAAGGAGACAAAACTGAGGGAGAGGACACCACCATTCTGGCTGCTCACTTGTGACCAGTAGGCAGGAATGAGGTGGGGTTGGGAGGAGATGCCAGGTTTTGCAGCCAGGCAGGTGAGCCATGGAGGACAGAGGGGAGGTCGGGGCCTAGCCTCTTTTGTCTTGTTTTGTTTGATATCAGGGATCGAACTCAGGACCTTGCTCTTGCCAGGGAGGCACAGCACTGCTGAGCTACATCCCCAGCCCAGCGTTGTAAGTGGGTGGAGGTGATGGCTGAGCTGGGGTGGAGGGAAGAATCTAAGATGACTTGGAGGTTTTTGGCCTGGGAAGTTGGGCGATGAGTTGTGCCCGTTCATGAAGACAGGACACAGAGGCACCCACTCCCAATGTCTAATCTGGGGCTCTTTTTGTCCATTTCCACCTTTCTTCCATCTGATGATGGTCTTCACTCCCCAGCGGGGAGGCTGATGTTGCTCCTTTGCTTTCTGCTCTACATTCCAAGCAGTATAGAATTCCTGTGGGGCACCTTTCTTTCTCTTGGCTTCCAACCTCTTCTTGACTAAGCACTTTCCTCCCCTCTCTGTCACAGCACGTACCTGCTGGTCTGTGACTGAGCAGTTGACCTGCTCCTTCACTACCCCACCAACTCCCAGAGGGAGGGGCCAGGCCTTACTGCCTCTACCACCAGGGCCTGGCAGCCTGCCAGGCATATGCCAGGGGGTTCGAACATTTTCCAAGCCTTTCCAGATTTTTCAGCATGGACAGATTGCTGGCTCTGGGATCCCTTATTGTATGAACAAACTCAGCTATCCTAGGAAATGTATTCCTCTCTGAGGACCACAAATTGCTCTGTTGGTGTGACACAAATATAGCCATATACAATGTATACATGAATGGTTGAGGCCGTGTCAAGTAAAACTTATTTACAGAACAAGTGAGAAGCTAGAAAGGTTATAGTTTGCTGGTTCCTGCACTAGGAGATTCTCTGAGACTTAATTATAGCCTTTGACCATCTCACGAGGTTGCTTTACTATAAGAGCTGACACCTACCATGTGGTTAAATCTGTCCTGAGCACTTTACACAAAGCAACTCAGGTAAGACTCACAACAACAGCTACTTTGATTACCTGCATTCTACAAACTGGAAAGCCCAGGTAAGACAGGGTAGGCAACTTGCTAGGCTCATGTAGCTAAGTGGTAGAGTGGGACTCTCCAGGCTCTTTGTCACTGTGCTCTATACCTCAGTGTATCCCAGCGAGGACCATGACTTAGCCACTCAAACACTCCCTTGAGCTCTTTCTGGATGTTAGCAGTTGCTTAGCAAACAGTTGCTGCACATAAAATATCACAAGGCAGCTGGTGACTTCTGCAGAAGGAACCCAGTCACTCCAGGGATTAGGGGTCCTAGCTGTGCATTGTCACCCCATTAGCCCCTTTCAGCCAGACCTGGGGCAGAGAAGCCTGCTCACCAAGCCATTTCCAAAATGGGAGTGTATGATAATTAGGCCTATTATGGGAAAATATTACTATGAAGGCCAGAACCCAGAGCCATAAAGTGATTCCCATCACTGGTTAGAGCCACCATGATTCGACTTGTGTTTCAGGGCACTGATCCCAAGGTGGGGGCTAATTATACCAGGAGGACTGTTCCACATACACGGCACTGCAGCTCTGGGAAGGGCCCCAGAGCACAATGTACTGAGGCTTTCTTTTTCTTTTTTTCCTCCTCCGCTTTGGCCATTGTTTAAAGACAGGATTCTATAATGACTCATTAACCAACATGCAGATCAATCAAGCTCACAAAGCACCTTTCTGAAGCAGGAGAAATGGCAGCAAGAGAAAGAGCCGCCATCAAAGAGGCACATTTGTACACAGCTCAGACACCCAACTTAAGCCCATTAGATAAATGAATAAATAAACCTACCATCCAGGACATAATTACTGAGCACCTGCCATGTGCCAAGCACTGAGCTAACTGCTTCCCATAAGTTATCTCGCTTGCCTGACAATTTAGCAACAAATCTAAATGCCAAGGACATGGCACAGACGGCAATGCAGGAGGATCTCAAAGAAGAGCCAAAGGGAAGGAGGTGCATGGAAGAGGTGGATGTGCCAGGCCTGGCAGGGTGGAGGAGGCTGTGGACTTGGTGCAGGCTTTGCTGGGAGCAGAGAGAGGGGAAGAAAGGGCAGGGAGGGCAGCTGAGGAGGGGAGAGTAGGACCAGGAGAACAGCCTGGATGAGGCTGCCGCTGGATTCTGCCAGCAGCCAGAGTGAACAGTCTGGGCTTCACGGTCAAGCTGATAGGGAGCTATGACTCAGCATGGGAGGAGGACCCAAGGCAGAGAGACCAGGCAAGAAGGGCTTAGAGTGAGGCAAAGAGAGGGTACAGAGGGGGACTGGAGACCAGGCCCCTCAGAACATGGCCATGTGTCCTGAGAGTTGGGGGGCGGGGCTTGGAGGATCTTTCCCAGTGCCCCAGGGAATGCTGTGCAGGACTAGTCAAAGGATGGGGCTCAGGTCCTGCTAGGCTGGGCCCGAGGGAGGTCTGGGTGAGGCTGCAGAGGAGCCAACAGCTCAGGGACACCTTTTATGTTTTTTCATTTTTGAGACAGGATCTCATTGTGTAGTTCAGGTTCGCCTCAAACTCATGACAATCCTCCTGCCTCAGCCTCCCGAGTGCTGAGATTAGAGATCAGGACTGAGCCTGTTCTGATGGATGTTTTTCTTCAATAGCTTCTGCTGCCCATCCTTCTCTCTGCTCCCAAACTCAGTGCCTTGCTATCCCCAGAGCAGGGGTTGGGGATTACACTCTTCAGGCCAAATCTGGCCCCCAGATTGCTTCTAGATGACCCCTAGAATTTTGAAGGGGTTTTTACATTTTAGACCAGAACTCCAAAAACTCACAACAAAGAATATGCAGCAAATATTTCCTGTGGTCCCCAAACTCTAAAATATTTTTATATAGCTCTTTATAGAAATAATTTGCTAACCTCTGCCCTAGAGCGATGATCTTCAAACTAGGTTCCTAGGTACTCAGGTTCCATAAACATCCTTGGGGACCACCAGCAGAGGTGACTGTGACAGAATGGGCAAAGCTGCTTCAACCAAAACAGATCTATTTTGATCTAGTTATTATTCTGATATTTTGTGACATATATAGATAGTATTTTTTCAATGTCCCTTTCTTCTTCTTATTCCTTCCTAACAGAACCCAGAATTTTGGGGGAATGTGGCAATGTACCCAGCCAAACCTGTAGCTAACGGTGAGTATGTGACAAAAGTCTGGGCAATGGGATGAAGCTGAGAATCTTGAGTTATTTTCTCATCTTTCTTTTTGCTTTTTCTGGAATACAGATATGAGGATGGAGATGGAGCAGCCTTCTTGTGATCATGAGGATGAGAGCTCCGTGCAAGTATGGCTGAGGGAAAATACAAGCTACCTGAGACACCAAGGGAACCAACAAACCAACCCTGGACTCCTTATCACTGGACTTTGGTAGGTGGAGAAAACAAACTGTGTGTTGTTTAAACTTCTGTGGAATTGTCTGCAACTCACAGACCTACACTCATGACCTACAGGCTGCAGATGCTGAAGAAGGGTTTTCATCACCCCAGAGAGACCGCCAATTCCTCACCCTCAGGATGCAATTCAGCACCCTGGCTTGGAAACTGCAGGCTGCTCATGCCTATGCCTGCCTCTTCTCAGCTCTTTAGAGGCCCCCATGGTGCTGTGCTGGAGTCTTAACCACCCACTCTGCCACAGGGCACTTGTGAGCATCCAAGGGCTGACCTTGGCTTACTAATACTGTACCAGCGTGACCACTCCCGTGGGCGAAAGGGAGCTCGCTGTGACTGGGCACAGGATGCCCAGGTTCCTCCTGTTGGGGTTTGGCTGAAGAATGAATCCCTGGGGCTCCAGGAAGGAGGCTGGGTTGGATCCTCTGGAGCCTGAGAAGGGGGGGGAGCAAGGGGGAGAGTGGGGAGGAAGGGAGGCTCCAGTGCTTCCTCCCAGCAACAAATCTGAGGATTTCTGGACGTTCTGAGAGTGCCGCCATGACCGCAGTTCAGTTTTGCTCGATCTGAGGCAGTGAACCCTTTCGTGCATTCCTTGCCTCCATCACTCATTGACTGATGGATCCATGCACCCATCTGCCCATTCACCCAACAGTCAGCACAGGCTCGCCAGTGATGGGCCTTGGAGAAGTGCACACAGGTGGCAAGAACGTGGCAACTGCTCTCAAAGCCCACAGTCTGGTGCACAGGAGACAGTGAGACGGGTGCTGGGACCAGAGGAGGAGGTGAGGCAGATATGAGGGGCACAGTCCTGCAGCGAGTGGGCTTGTCTCTGGCAATCGGGAAGTGTGTTCGGGGACACCAGGGCCTCTGCCAGTTCCAGCAGTGAGTGATACCCACATAGGTTGAGAAGTGAAAATAACTATATGAAGGAAAAGGTCCCTCTCAGCCACTCACCCATGAGAAGTGGGCATGAGAGGCACGTGGCGGACACCTCTCTGATCACCAGCATGTCATTCGTGGATGCCACAGAGAAGATGTGAGCCAATGTTTGTTGAATGATTAAGTGAGTGAACAAATGGACCAATATGTGTTTCTGACATTTGCACTGGTGGGTGGTCACTTGCCTGGAGAGTTATTTCTCAGATCTTGGGACTACAAAGGGAAGAATGACATTAATGATCCTCCAGGAGTGAAGCACTAAAATAGTTAGATTTGGCTTGAAGTCCACGAAATGAGCTTTCCTTTCCCTCTTCTTTCCTTGGCCCCTCCATCCCCCCTCCCCCCGCCCTTTCTCTCTCTCTCCCTTGTCCCATTTTCCTTTCTTTTCTAGCAAAGGTGGATTGACTTTCCTGATCAAATCCTGAGGTGCATATGCAATCAGATCAAATGTGCTGTTCAAAATAAAGGCAGATGTGTGTAGGTTAAAGGCCCCAAGCAGGTCTGGGTTTCAGTATTGACCATAGACATCTTTTTCCAATGGTCCTAAGCTCAATGATCCTAAGGGGAGGAGGCCCCAGGACCATGACCTGGACCTCAGGCCCAACACAGGTGGAGATGATCCCAGGAACTTCTCCATCAGCTATCAACATGTCCAAATCTCTGTGCTCTCTATGGGAGTCATAAACAAAAGCCCATCCCTGCCTTCAGGGTACTCAGAACTCTGGAGGAAACTGATGTTAAACACTGCACAGCATGCTATGCATACTAAGAAAAGGTGCTGATGGAATTCTGGAGGGATCAGGAAAGACTAAGACCTGGTGGAGTGAGAGGGCCTTTCGGGAGAGTACTGAATCTCCCAGGAGAGCAGAACAGGCTGTGCCCAGGCAGAGGTCTTGCAGGGCCAGATGTGTCTATGATGCAGGGGTCAATGTGGCTGAAGTTGGGGCTGCCCAAGGGAAGCCTCAGGGGTGGGATACTGTGCTTTGTGGGGGGGCACGGGACTGGGATTTATTAAGTCAGCTTGGCTGGTCCAAGCCACCAGGGTGCTCTTTCAATAAAGATCCCCTGAATCATGTCTTTGGGGAAAGGGTTGGGAATTTATAACCTTAAAGTTTCCCAGTTATTTCTGATGATTGGCCAAATTTAGGAAACGTTATTATAGGTGGATATTATACTAATATTAAATCAGTATTATAAATGCTAATCAAGCAGAGAGGGCAGAGCTGGCATGTGGAGGAGGCCAACATCACTGGGTCTGTCTGAAACTTCTCTTCTCTCTTCTTTGAATCTATCAAGCTTCTGGGAAGACAGAGTGAAGTACTTTGGTTCATTTTATTCCTAACTTATTGATATACTTCCCCAGTTTGGCTGAGCTCTTGCCTCTTCAGTGTCGCGTTATGCAGTCTCTGGTGCTCAGTTACTGCTGGTAATTCAGAGCAGAGCTGTGGCCATCCCACACCAGAGCAACTCCTCGTGTCTCTTTGGGCCTGGGGCATCCTAGCTCCCTCCTGGGCACAGCTAGAAGACAGCCTCCAAGGGGTGGGGCGTTCCCTCTGGCCACACGTGTGCAGACTTCTGGGATACACAGTCATTGCCTGACTAGGAGGAGACCAAGGGCACGGGTGTCCCACTTGGTATTGCTTCATGAAAACACTCAGCACTGCGCCTGACAGCCTCAGTGCTCCTTGCAAAGGGGACCCTGCATGCTCATCCCTATATCCCTCTCACTTGCCCTGGGACTTCCCTTCTTTCACATGTTTTCCCTCTTCCTCTTTACTTGCTCTGCCCTCCGCTGGCACACAAACTCCAGTTTCCAGTATTCTAAATAAACACCTGAAAGTAACTGCAAACTCCCTCTCCCATTTGCCCTTCTCATGTGCTACTGCCTATTCTCCCTCCTTTGCTTCACCATGAAACTGCTCATACTGCTGTCTGTCTGCACTCTGGCCCCCAGTGCCTCACCGCCCACCTGTGCATCCCCCCCACCCCCGGCCGCTGCTATGTGTTCCTCCCCCAGAGCTCCGCTGTGAAAGGCCTCTTGCCAAGGCTGAAGTCAGTGGTCACCTTTGGGTCTGTTCCACCAAGCCTTCCTTCATAACTGCCATGATCACACATGTCCTAGTGGAAGACTTCCTGGGTTTCTGTCATGCCCTCCTTCTGCCTCTCTGACTGCTCCTTCTCTGTGTTGTTCACCTGCAAGGAGAGTTCCCAGATCCATTCTGAATCTTCTTGTCCTCTTGATTCCTTCCAAGGACGCTGTCCCTTTGTTAGGATTGTATTCCCACCCATGCATTGATGAGATGACAATCAAATCTCTCCCTTGAACCCAGGGTTTCCAAGCAGTGTGTCCAAATGCTGTTAGATAAACCATAGATTCTTCAAAGGCATTATATTCATATTTCTCTCTTGATCCCCACAAAATATGCTCTTCTCTTTGTATTTCTTTTTAAAGTCTCCCATCAGTCCCTAGCCACAGAGTCTACTGAGTCATCAATCATTTGTCCATTAAGTAAATTACACTGAGCACCTGCTGTGTGTTGGTCACTTGAGATACGCATGATCCCTGCACCAATCAGCCATGAAGTCCCATTCCACCCTTACATCTCTCTCTTCTCTTTCCTCCTCCACATCTCCAAAGCCTTGGCTGACACCCCTACTGCTCCTGGCTGGTAAATAAATGATTTAGTCTCCTAGCTGGTCTTGCTCCCCTGAGAATCCTCCTTCTGTCCTCTCTGTTGATGCTAGAGTAATCCTGCCCAAACTCAGACTTTCTCTTATTGCTCGGTTCAGAAGGGAAGACGGCACTCCAGCCCCCAGTGTGGACAGCCCTGGCCCTCCCTTCTTCTCCAAGACCTCATTCCATTCAGCGACACAGCTCAGCTATTTAAGTACACGGACTTTGGAGCCAGAAAGACTGGGTTTTAATTCCAGCTCTGCCACTTACTGGCTGCGTGCAGTGGCTATCTCCTAACCTTTAACCTGTCCATGATCCACTTCCTTCATCTATCAAGTGGGTCTATTAAAACCTAATTCATTGTGCTATTAAGAAAATGAAATAAAATCATTTATACAGAGGGATCATCTCAGAGATTCCCTTTGTATAGGATACAATAAAAGCTATTATTGTTATTAACAAAGACTAACACTTCTAGCCTTAAAGTCCTCCATTCTGAGATAAAACAAACCTCTTTACCAAGCATGTGAGCTCACTATGATCTAGATCCTGCTTACCTTTCCATCTCTATCCAGGCATGTTGAATCACTTTCAAGAGGCTATTGCAAACCTCAATGCCTTTGCACATGTGCTCACTCTGAGACAATGATTTCCAAGCCTACACCTCCTTCACTACCTTGCTTAAATGGCACTTCCTTGGCGAAAACTTTCCTGGGTTTTTCCTAGCACCATGTACATACCCAACCAGTACTGTCCATACTTTAGTCTTTTATTTACATGCCTGTCTTCAGTTGTACGTGCACATTGCTCAAGGGCAGAAGCATTAGCTATAGAAGTGAACAAATGAATACTTATCTCATAACACATACTGAGAAGTTAGAGAGACCATACATTTTTGCTGGAGATTGGGATGCAGGGAGGGCTCACCTGTGGAGCAGTGCATGAACGAGGTGAGGAACTGCTTCTGTTTTTCATGTGGATTGTAGGAAGGCAGCTTCTATGCCTCAGTCCTAGACTTCAAATTTCCAGCTCATCTCCTTCTAGTCACACTCAGTATTCCCTGGGTTCCCACCCCTGGTTTCAGGATGGGCTCCTTTAGCCCTTTTAGGCTCCCCCTGTACTTTCTGAAGCCCACCAAGGACACATGGAAATGCTGGGAACCTTCTGCACCTGAGGCATGCCTTTCAGAGGGGTTGGCCTCAGGAGCCCGGGCTGATGTGGCCTCTTGCAGAACATGTCAGGGAGAAACAATATGACGTCACTGACCTCCACAAACTGGCCAAGCCTAGGCCTTCTGGGGGGCCAATCTAACTGCTCTTCAGGTCTCACTTAGGCTTCTCTGATATCTTTCCTTCAGGTTCAAAAGAAAATGAAGATAAGCATCATTGACTATACCTGAGGAAGAGCCTCTGGTCAACAACTTAATAATCTCAGGGAGGTAGGTCTCTCTTCTAGCTCCATTCTCACCCTCTGTGGCTGAAGCACCCTTCCCTGCTGACTAAGTTCACCATGAAATGGTTTAATAAAATGTGACTCCTCTGTAAAATGCTGTGCAGAAGAGATCTGCTTCCAGTGTTCCCAGCTCTGTGGCCTCAGGCACTTGAACCAAAGAAGCTTGAAATGTTTGGTATAATTTAAAGAGGAAAAAAAAGGTTTTTAAAATATATCTAAGTTAGTGTTAGGCACTGAATTATAGCCTTCTAAAATTCATGTATTGAAGCCTGAATCTCCTATGTCACTGTATTTGGAGATGGGGCATTTGGAGAGGTAGTTAAGGTTAATAAGGTTGTAGGGGTGAGGTCCTGAGGCGAGTGGACTAGGGTCCTTACAAGCATGAGGAGACATGGGTGAGCTCTCCTCAAGTGCACATAGAGGAGGCAGCGGCCATTTACATTCAGGAAGAGAGCCCTCATCAGAAACCAAGTTTTCCAGCACCTTGATGGATGACTTCCAGTCTCCAGAACTGTGAGAAAACAAAGGTCTTTGGTATTTTGTTGCAGCAGTCTAAGCAGACTAACAAAATGAGGAGTACTCAGAGTCTACAGCACAGTGGATGGAGGGACCCAGAATGTGACCAGCGCATGAAACTGGCTTTGGTCTTGAGTGCGTTATAAAACTCTGAGGAAGCAGAGCTTTAGAAAAGAGGGGACAACTACAAATCTGCCTGCCTGCCTTCTCACTGGCCACACCACCCTCTGGTAGACCTGGAGGTTGCCTTTATCTCAGACCTTGACAGTGAGAAGACAAAACACTTCCACTGAAAATCCAAGACTGGAAGTAACCTTTGCATGGTTTGCAGCCTTCATAGTACTTTGTGGTTTGAAACCTTTATACTGAGAATTTAGTCTGAAGAGGTTTCGGGCTGGTAATGCCCCAGCGCAAGGCAGTAGCTAATGGAAACTCTGCAAGAAACAACCTTCTACCAAGGTCTCAAAGAACTTTCAGAGACAAAAGTTTATGATTCTAGCCACACAGTCAACAATTACACAACAAAGAAAGAAAGGTGGGGGCTGGGGATTTAGCTCAGTGGTTCCGCTGCCTGCCTTGCAAGTGTAAGGACCTGAGTTTGATCCCCGGTACCAAAAAAAAAAATAGAAAGAAAAGTGGTTCTTGGAACCAGGAGAGGTAAGAACAAACCACAGAACCCAACCTGCAAAGACTTTAGCTACTGGCATTAAAAGACACAGAATATAAAATAAGTAGGCTTAATACACTTAAATTGAAGTAGCTAAACACTTGAATAAGGAGCAAGAGACTGTAAAATATGACCAAGAACATATGAAAAAGAACCAAACAGAACTTCCTGAAAGTTAAAATTATATTTTGAACTAAATTAAATCCTTAGTGAGTGGATTAACAGAGATGATACATAGCAGAACAGAGAATAAGTGAACAAAATAAGAGAGAGAATATGTGAGAAAAGAGACATGGAAAGTAGATTGGGAAAAACGAATTGTTTATCAGACTTTCAAAAGGCAAAAAGAGAGCAAATAAAGAAGAAGCAACAGTTGGAAAGATAATGGTTAAACATTTTCCCAAGCTAATGCAAGGCACAACCCATGGCTTCAATAAACATAATGAATTCAAGCAGGATGAACACAACAATGTCCACACTAGACATGTGATTGTGAAACTGCAGGACACTAAAGACAAGTAGAAGACCATAACGGCAGCCAGATGTCATATGAAGGAAAGACAAGAAACAGTGACAGGGACAACTGAAGCTAGAAGACATGGGAACAATACTTCCACATGCAGGGAAACTATGACTATCAACTGAGAATCAATCAGGAAACACCAATATATTTTCAAGAGCAAGAGAAAATATACATTTTAAGATAAAGAACTAAGAAACATCAATATAGAAAAATGAAAAAATGTACTTTGAGCAAAAAGAAAGAAATTCCAAAGAGAAAGACTAGGATACAAGAAGCAATGGTGAACGCAGAATTGGTATGTGAATCTGAATGGACATATACCGGCTTTCAATAATAACAATGGTAATTTGTGAGAAGAGGTCAGGTGATATATAAATACATGCCCCATGGAGTATGAATCAAGAAGGAGCAAGTGTGCAATGTTCTAGGATTCTTGACTTTTCAGGAGGAACTCAAAATTAATATTTAGCTTTAGACTTCAATAAGTATGCATGTTAATACTTCTAGAGTATTTTACAAGAACAGAAATAATTGTAGAATTCAAATGGTCTGAATTCTCTATTTAAAAGACAGATTATTAGATGGGATTTGGAAAAATCCAGCTGTGCACAAAACACACACAAAGCATAAAGGAAACAGAAGGTCAATAGTAAGAGAATAGAAAATGTCAGACAAAAACAAAAAAGAAAGAAAGAAAAGAAAGCAAGGAATGAAGAAAGGAAGAAAGAGAAAGAAAAAAAGCAGGCAAGCAAGCAAGCAAGCAAGCTGATGTAATAGCTAAGGCAGAAAAAGCTACAAAGCCAAAACTGACGGAAATTCAAAGCCTAATAGATAAACTCATTATTATAGTTGGAGAGTTTAACATCTTGCCTTCTGTAGATGACAAAAATAATCAATGAAGACATAAAAGACAAACACAACAACTTGATGTAATGGTCATATTAGAACATAAAAACCGCAAAATGAACCATTTATTTTTTCAAAGACACATAGAATATATGTGAAAATGATCATTTCTGATCCCAAAAGCACATTTCCATAAACTTCAAATAGTTGAAATACAGACAATGTTCTCCAAATTCCAACTTTATAATCAATAACAAAAAGATATCTGGGAGCCGGGGATTTAGCTCAGTGGTGCCACTGCTTGCCTCGCAAACACACGGTCCCAAGTTTGATTCCCGGTACCAAAAAAAAAAAAAAAAAAAGACAGCTGGAAGAGTTCTTTAGAAGTTAATATATACTACTAAATAACTCAAGGTTGAAAGATGAAATAATAATGGAAATTGGAAAATATTCAGAACAGGGCCGGGGATGTAGTTTAGTAGCATAGCATGTGCCTGCCATGTATGGTGAGGCCCTGTGTTCAATGGCCAGAACCACAAAAACAAACAAACTAGAGCTAAACTAGAAAAGAAATTCTGAATATAAAAATCTGAATGAATGTAGCCAAAGCAGTCCCTAGAGGGAAATGTATAGCCTTAGACAGTTAAATAAGATTTAAATAGGTAGTGAACTAAGCATCAAAATTAAGATGCTAGAGAAAAAACAACAAAATAAATCTAATACAAGGAAGGAGATAATAATGATGAGAACAGTTATGGATCAAATATAAAATATTAAAAAGTTACCAAAACAAAAACTAATTCTTTGACAAGACTAAAAAATGCAAAACTTCTAAAAATACCAATTTTAAAATGATTCAAATTAGAAATGGAAAAGGAAACAGAAACACAAAAATAGCAGAGGTAATAAATACAGTGAGAGAGTATGCAGTTTTATATTCAATATATTTGAGAACTTAGAAAAATGAACTCCAGACAAAAACAGATGACCTAAATTAACCTTTACTTGTTACAGGTATTACTCTATAGTCTAAAATTTTCCAAGGGAGGAAACACCAGACAGAGATAGTTTTGCTAAAAGAAAATTCTACTAAGCTTTCAGGGCAAAAGTTATTGCAGTTTTCCACTAAGCACCCCAAGGGATAGAAAGAGAAGAAACGCTCCCCACATCATTTTATGAGCCTAGTATTATCTTGATACAAGAATCTGGGAAGGATAAAAAAATAACAGGCCAATCTCACTAATTAGAAACAAAATTTCAAACAAATCAAATAGGAATGTATAAAAATATACATGCTAAGAGATCAGGTTAGATTTTTCCTAGGATTTCAGGAGTGGCTTAACATTAGAAAAGCTAGCTAATGTAATTCATGACACTAAGAGAATAAAGGAGGAAAATAAGGATTTTATCAGTAGATATATAAAAGTGTTTGATAAAATTCAACAGCCATTCTTAATGGAAATTCCTCACAGACTAGGATTAGGAAGGAACTTTCCCAACTCAAAAAAGAAAATGTTTAAATTAAAAATAAAATGAACTTCGGCAAACATCACGGTCAATGTGAAGAAATAAAAACATTCCATTAAACATCAAACAATGACAAGAGTGCCCACTATTGTCACAGTGATTGGACACTATACTAAAGTTCTAATCAGATCATTGAAGCAAGAAAAAGAAAGAAGAAAAGGTTATATGCATCAGAAAGGAAGAAACAAAGCCTCCATCATTCTTTGCAGATGATGACTGCCCATGTAGAGAACCCAAAAATTCACAGATACAATAATTACAAGATAGTTGTTATATATACAAACCAAAATGCAAAAATCAATTGTATTTCTGAATACTGGCAAGAAACAGGTAGAAAATATAATTTAAAAAGATGTGATTTATCATAGCAACAATAAGTATATGATATTTAGGAGTGAATACATATATTAAGGATTGTATAAGACATGTAATGGAAAAATTATACAAATTCATTGGAGACTATTAAAGAATTGCCCTAAGCAATTAGAGCCCTAAGCACTCATGAACTAAAAGACTCAGTACCAAAATATACCAGTTCTTCTCCAATTGTAGTTTTGATGTAATTAAAAGAAAGATTCAAACAGGTTGTTGTGGATTTGGATAAGATAGCTGTAAAATTTATAAAAATTTAATAAAAAATAAAAAGTAGAGAAAAAACTAAACGAAATAAACTATATATATGACACATTTTGAGTGAAGTTATTAAGAATACAGTACATAGAACATAACTATGTTTAAATGGAGTTCACATGCTGCCATACTAAACAATGTATATTTTAGGGAAACACATTTAAGGGCTAAGTATAAAAAGAGGCAAAGGAATAATAAACACCTCTGAGGGGCAGGGAGTGAAATGAGATTGGCGATGATCATGCCTCACTAAGGTAACTGCAATTTCTCAGGGAGATGGCTACAAAGGTATTTGTTGTATTGGTGCTATTCATGTCTTGCTTATATGTCATATATATGCTGTTTTTTACTCAATACTTAATAAAAACAATGTAAATGCATTGTCTGTAGAGAAGCTACCACCACCAGCTTCTGAGTTTGAAATCCCTGGTAGACCAGCTGTCTCAACCCAGGCCGGTCTGCAGGACCCCCACCCCATCCCTAGAGCCTTACCTTGGCAGGGTTGAGCGCTGTGATGATCCACACACAGTGTGCATTGTTGTCATACTGAATGGGGAAATTGGGGGAGGTGATGATGCCTGAGGGGCCGCGAAGGTGGGCATCACACATGCGGGCTGCAGAGGGGAGATGAAAGACATGCCTTTTAGTAGCAGGTCCACTTCCCCTTCCCACTTCCCACTCCCATCCCCAAAGAGATTGAATCTATGGTTCCAACCTAGAAATGACCTGCTTCCTGCACCCTTTCCCCACAGTTCTCAGCAGTATATGGGAAGTCTCAGTGCCTGGAGCACTGGGCTAGGGCAGGTACTACATGGCTCTGGAGGCATCAGTTACTTTCCAAGGCAGGCTAAGCAACCCCTGAATCCCCTGAGATTAAGCAGTACATCTTCACAAAGAGGGTATAGGTTAGTGCCATGGATGTCCCCCTAAAGCTAGGTGGGCTGAAGGCACTTATGGACTGCTAAGCAGCCCATCCTGGCTCTGTGGACCTGCCTGTGTTTCCTTATTTTCACTCCAGGACTTGAAACCAGCTGAGTACCGCTCTGGACCCAAATTTGCTTACCTAGGAGTCAGACCTCATCCCAGATTCTGCTGGTCCTCAATCCCTCCCTCTACAACCTCACCAGCCTCCT